CTCTTTTGACGATTTTTTGAAGCAGCAGCAGCAGGCCCAGCAGCAGCCTCGTGGCTACGGCTACAAGTACCAAGGTCAGAGCTTCCAGCCAGGCCAGAACTACCAATACTCGGGCCAGTCCTTCCAACCAGGCCAGTATCAGGGCTACCAGGGCTATGACCAGGGCTTCCAGAGCCAGAGTATGAGTGAGGCTCCTTCTGGCGCTGAATCCAGAATCACCAGCGGTGCTGGAACTCCTAACCCCGATGCCTCCACTACCTCGCTTTCATCCTTGGGTTCTGCTTTGAACAAGCTCAAACTCGAGGAGTCTCCCATCCTGGAGCACTTGACCACGATACAAAAGTCGTCGAAGCTCAGCGACTCCAAGAAGGAGGCCGAGGCTATTGCCCAGAAGGTGGCTGGGCTGCCTTCTATGAGCGTCTTCACCGAGTGGAAGATTGTCGATATTGTCAAGAACTTGGCCAAGGCTAGAAGCTCGCCTTTGGTCAGAGAGTCTGCCCTTCTCATCATCCAGCAGCTTGCATTCAGCTTGAGTAACACTCCTCCCAAGGAGCTGTACTTGGTGCAGTTCCTCAGCATCATCCTCGAGGCATTCACAGACAAGGACAAGAACGTGATCAAGACGGCCAAGCAGACGCTTGACATTGTTTACGGCGTTTTGCCTGTGGAGATCTTGGGCAGCTTGTTCATCGACGAGATCATCAACTACCTCAACTCCTCGGCTAAGTGGAACACCAAGATCGCTGCTTTGGATGTCGTGGACAAGCTCGTTGAGGAGGCTCCTGCCGACTTGTTGGAAATGAAGTTCGTCACCGCTGTGCCAGCTTTGACTGACATGGCCACTGATTTCAAGCCTGAGTTGGCTAAGCACGGTTTGTCCACCTTGAAGCGTTTCGTCAAGGTTTTGGACAACTTGGACTTGCAGAACAAGTACGACTTGATTGTGGAGACTTTGGCCAACCCACAAAAAGTGCCAGAGTGTATCAAAAACTTGTCTTCCGTTACATTCGTTGCTGAGGTCACTGAGCCTGCTTTGTCTCTTCTTGTGCCAATTCTTGACAAGTCGTTGAAGATGTCCTCTTCCACGAACGACCAGTTGAGACAAACCGTGACTGTCACCGAGAACTTGACCAGATTGGTCAACAACAAAAGAGAAATCGAACACTACATTCCTATCTTGTTGCCTGGTGTGGAGAAGGTTGTCAACAACGCTTCCTTGCCTGAGGTCAGAGACTTGGGTGCCAAGGCTCTCCATGTTTTGAAGGAGGCTGAGAATGAGCAGACCGACGGTAAGTTCCACGGAAGAATCTCTTTGGAGGACGCTAAGAAGCACCTCAAGGAGGGTCTTTCCGAAGACGTCAAGCCTGTCGCTGAAGCTGTGTTCTCTGACGAGACTGAGGCCGACTACTTGGCTGTCATTTTGCAGATCGACGCCAACGTCAACGATTGGAAGCGTTTGACCGAATATCTTCAAAGCGCCGTTCAGGTCTCCGATTCTATTTCCGAGGAGCTCAAGAACAAGTACGTTGAAGAGGTTGTCAAGAACGTCAAGCACCTCTTTGTGGAGACATCCCTGGCCGACAACGACGACGACGAGGGTGCTATTGAGATTGTCAACGCCGACTTCTCCTTGGCCTACGGTTCCCGTATGTTGTTGAACAAGACCAATTTGAGATTGTTGAAGGGACACAGATACGGTCTTTGCGGTAGAAACGGTGCCGGTAAGTCCACCTTGATGAGAGCCATTTCCAAGGGTCAGTTGGAGGGTTTCCCAACCCCAGACCAGTTGCGTACTTGTTTTGTTGAGCACAAATTGCAAGGCGAGGAAGGCGACTTGGACTTGGTGAGCTTCATTGCGTCCGATCCTGAGTTGGCCAATGTTGGCCGTGAGGATATCGCCAATGCTCTTCAGGCTGTTGGTTTCCCAGAGGAGAGATTGACCCAGCAGGTTGGCTCTTTGTCGGGAGGTTGGAAGATGAAGTTGGAGTTGGCCAGAGCCATGTTGATGAAGGCTGATGTTTTGCTTTTGGATGAGCCCACTAACCACTTGGATGTTGGAAACGTCAAGTGGCTCCAGAACTACTTGATCGAGAACACAAACATCACCTCCTTGATCGTCTCGCACGACTCCGGTTTCTTGGATGCCGTGTGTACCGATATCATCCACTACGAGAACAAGAAGTTGGCCTACTACAAGGGTAATTTGTCCGAGTTTGTCAAGGTCAAGCCCGAGGGCAAGTCCTACTACACTTTGAGCGACTCCTTGGTCAAGATGGCCTTCCCTCCTCCAGGTATCTTGTCTGGTGTGAAGTCCAGTACCAGAGCTATTGCCCGTATGAGCAATGTCACATTCACTTACCCAGGTGCTGCCAAACCTTCCTTGAACAATGTCTCGTGCAGTTTGTGTTTGTCCTCCCGTGTGGCTATTGTTGGACCCAACGGTGCCGGTAAGTCGACTTTGATCAAGTTGTTGACTGGTGAGTTGGTGCCTGCTGAAGGTAACGTCGAAAAGCATCCGAACTTGAGAATTGGTTACATTGCCCAGCACGCCTTGCAGCACGTTGAACAGCACAAGGAGAAGACCGCCAACCAGTACTTGCAATGGCGTTACAGATTCGGTGATGACCGTGAGGTTTTGTTGAAGGAGTCCAGAAAGATTTCCGACGAGGAGAAGCAAATTATGGAGAAGCTCATTGACGTTGGCGATGGTCAGGGACCAAGACAGATTGAGGCACTTGTGGGAAGACAGAAGTTGAAGAAGTCGTTCCAGTACGAGGTCAAGTGGAAGTACTTCCTTCCAAAGTACAACTCGTGGATTCCTAGAGATTCGTTGATCGAGCAAGGCTTCGAGAAGTTGGTGCAGAAGTTCGACGATCACGAGGCTTCCAGAGAGGGTCTTGGTTACAGAGAGTTGACGCCCAAGGTCATCAGAAAGCACTTTGAGGATGTTGGTTTGGACGGTGACATTGCCGACCACACTCCAATGGGATCCTTGTCGGGTGGTCAGTTGGTCAAGGTTGTCATTGCCGGTGCCATGTGGAACAACCCTCATTTGCTTGTTCTTGATGAGCCTACTAACTATTTGGACAGAGACTCCTTGGGAGGTCTTGCTGTGGCCATTCGTGACTGGAGCGGTGGTGTGGTGATGATTTCGCATAATAACGAGTTCGTTGGAGCTTTGTGTCCTGAACAGTGGCATGTTGAAAACGGTGCTGTCGTTCAAAAGGGAAGTGCTGCTGTTGATGCGCTGAAATTTGCCGATGGAGCCGAATCCAAGGATGGCTCGCCTGCACCTGAACCTGTTAAGAAGAGAGCCGACGACGACGACTCGCCTGCCAACATCAAGGTCAGAACTAGAAAAAAGAAGATGACCAGAAACGAGAAGAAGGCCCAGGCCGAGAGAAGAAGATTGCGCCACATTGAGTGGTTGAGCAGTCCTAAGGGCACGCCCAAGCCCGTCGACACTGACGAGGAGGAGGAGTAACAGGCTTACCGTATATGTTAATTAATAGAGGATTTGGGAAAGACGATAGTTGTAGAAATGGTGGGCAGGTGAAGGTTTTGGCTGCAAATGCACGTGATATATGTCACGTGACCTACATCCTGTTGCCTTCGGAGGCAAGTCTCAACACCATGAACACCAAGCTAGATACCGTTCAATGGCCGACAGATACTCCTTTTCCCTTACGACATTCTCCCCACAGTATGTACCATTAAAATTCAAGGTTTTGCGGTCACATTGGTGTTTTCCCCGCTCGAATTGACCCACTACTCGCCATTCTAGTACTAACAACGCCAGAGGGAAATTGGTCCAGATCGAATACGCCCTTAATGCTGTGAAACAGGGTGTCACGACAATCGGCATCAAGTCTGCTTCAGGAGTGGTGCTTGCCACCGAGAGAAAGTCCAACTCCAATCTCTTGAAGAATGACTGCAACACAAAAGTCGAAATGATAACCCCAGATATAGCCATGACCTACTCAGGCATGGGCCCCGATTTCCGTGTGCTTGTGGATAGAGCACGTAAGTTGGCCCACACCAACTACAAACGTATATACAACGAGTACCCTCCTGTGAAGATCATGGTTCAGGAGCTCGCCAAGGTGATGCAAGAGTCCACGCAAAGTGGAGGTATCAGGCCCTTTGGCGTGTCGCTCTTAGTGGGCGGCTACGACCACCATCTGGGCAGCTTTCAATTATACCAGGTTGACCCTTCGGGCAGTTATTTCCCCTGGAAAGCCACTGCCATCGGCAAGACGGCTGTTTCAGCCAAGACGTTTTTGGAGAAGCGCTGGAACGAAGACTTGGAGTTGGAGGATGTCATCCACGTGGCGCTCCTAGCATTGAAGGAGTCTGTGGACGGTGAGTTGATTGGCGAGAACTTGGACATCTCTGTCGTGAGCGACCCACAGGACCACTTGTTGGGTTTCACAGGCACTGACATTGAGGGTCCTCGTGTGAAGCAGTTGCTGGCGGAGGAGATCAATGACAGGCTTGAGGCGTTGTAGAGCCGCGGGCCGGAGATGGAAGTAAAATGCAAGAAACGTGAAGAAGCTGTAGGGGCGGAGACTTTCGTAGAGGTTTTTGAACTAGGGTCGACATTCTTTAGAAAAGGCTAATCGTGACAAGCATAGTTGAATTAATTCCTAAGGGGAAGAGGATAATTTTGTTTGATCCAACAAAGCTAAAACTGGAATTTCCTGAAATTAGTTCGAATTGACATTGGAAATTGAAACATGTACGGATTGCCCTAACAGAAAGTCTGGTCAATTTAGAAAGCAACGTAATTTTTGAACAAAAAACGGCAAGAACGAAAAGGGATGACTTCTATCTCCTCGGATTCAATGATCCAAAACAGGAACTTCCCTTTAACATAATCAAACTTTCCTTTTACAAGAGTCCGATTATACCCTCCTTCTCCCAGCAAGGCAAGAGAAAACCACACGTCAAAAAATACAACTATATCAAGCCCACATTTCTTCATTCCAACCCCATCAAACATGGGTTTCTTCAGCACACCAACCGAATACACCATCCAAAGCGAAACGTCTCCACCGCCAAAATTGAACACTCTATTTCTTTTCCGTGACTATGGAACAGATCTCGATGTTGTCCAAAAGGAGTTCTCCAAAGTTGTGGACAAAGGCGCTTATAGACTAAGTTCGCTTGGCTGCAAACTTTCTGGAAATTTTCACCAAGTGACGGAGTTTCAGTCGCTACAGAAGGATGACGTGAACGACCTCGAGCTGGACATTTTCATTAAAATGGCACGTTCACGAACCGGTATTCCCTCTTTTGGCCAAAGACCTTCTCCAGGTACCACAATGGTCGTTTTCCAAGTTCGTCACACGTTCTTGACATTTGACAAGTCAAAGTACGAGCTGTTGATGCCAATTTTGGGAGGCTGCTTTTACGTATGTGGAGACCACTTCAAGCTATTTCCCGGTCCAAAGTTTCCAATGACACATCTGCTTTATGGAGCTGGATGTGAACTGATCTCAGGGTCCGAGCACAAATTAGACAATGATGTTCGATTGAAGTTCAACGCCGAATTCAAGCACGCTTCGTGGTTTCGCCAGAAAGCGTTTCATCGTATTGTGCTTCCCAAAATGCCCGTTTCAGATTTTCTCTCTTTGAAACTTTGGCTAAAACGTAATGAGAAGCTTGAAGAACCTTTCATTCTTTCTGAGATAAGCATCGAGCTCCAGGAGTTTGTCAGTGTCCATGAACAAGGGCATTTTTTCCAGGAGGTGAAAAGCCAGCTTTTGGTGAAACAGTCCGCGCTGTATCTGGTCTTTCTCTCCGAAGATCCTTTGGATGTTTGTCCAGACATTGCTTTACCGGACCTTGGCCCATCCTTCTACACGAGGGATCTCACGAGAAGTTATGGGTTGCGTATTTCAGTGAAAGTATCTCACCAGAGCCGTCCTAGCGTATCTGCCTCAGCGTTTATGGAAATCAATGTAGCGCAAGAAATCCAAGAACGCATAAGGTATACCACTTTGGACGACAAGGAGTACTATGGATCGAACTTTACAAGAAACGTTGTATCGTGTGGCAACTCAAGCTTCAAAGATTATCTACCTTGGATCATGGCGGACTTTAAAGCCCAGTTGTATGAGAAAAGAAAGAAACTTCTGCGGTGTGCCATCCACTTTCACACCAACGGGTCCTCCAGCAATGTGTATTATCAGGTGGACGGCTCGGAAAAGCGATCCCACAAGCGAATTGAAGTCCAACCATCTCTTACAAAACATGTTTTTAACTTTCTTGAGTTTATGAAACAGAAAGGAATGAGCTTGTTTTATCCACCAGTGCCTATCCAGCAGACCTCAACCGTCACCTTGGTGACGAAGAAACCAGTTACAGGGGGCGATGCCACTAACTCAAATAAGCCGTTTGCTTCATCCTGTGTTGCTATAGGCAACCAGGTAGCTTACTCATTAGACCTGGGCGATCGGTTCCTGAGAGCTATCAGGGACCATGTCCTTGCAATTGGAGAAGAAAATTATCCGCTTACTATCCGGCTCACACCAGCTGGACATAAGTATTTCAAGCAGTCGCAAGGAATTGGTGAGAGCATCATTGCAACAGCTGGAATGAGCCTCTCTGAGCTTTTGGAGTTCACGTTCATGCTTCCATTGAGCTTCAGGAAAATTGCAGCCTGTGATTCACTGGTAGAGAACTACACAATCCCTTTGAAGAGATTGACGGTGACTCTTTTCGACTTGAATACAGACTATCGTAAAACCAGGACGGTGTTAGTCGATCAGAAACGCTTGCCCTGGATACGTTGGAGTGGCTTTACAGGCCATGTTCCCGGAAATCCTGGAGCTTGTTCACACCCATATTCGTTCCATGGCATCAAAGGTAAACTTCCCGACAATCTCGAGCCAACCTCCTTTGGTCAACTGGGGGGTACAGGGCTGTACTGCTTGCTTGTTGTGTTACAACTTGGTGAGAACGATGCGTGTTTCCGTTGGGAAATTAAGCTTGGAATTGCCAAGCTTTGAAGGAGACACTTTGAGATATGAGACACTTCGGGTAGCTCAGAATTGGAAGCTATCGATTAGAGCATTTTTAGCCTGCGCTGTCGTGCCTCTTGAGACTAATCATTCCTAACCTGAATTAAATAACTCTCTGATTGTGAAGTTGTATATATTTAGCTAATGAACGAAATATATTTTTTGAAACGTCGTAGGAAAGACGCTGCTCATACAATGGGGCAGTGACTCTGTGTTTAACGAGTGTTCACAGTTTGATGGATAATCCGAAACCTTGCAATTTTTTAACTGTGAATTAAACCTTCCTCTATAAACATAACGATATAGAATAGGAATAGTGACTCCTTGGGCATGGGTTGAAGCCTGGTGTGTACCTCAACTTCTGAAACACTTGTCTGAGATTAAACTTTCCTCAGTAAAAATAACGATAAACTTAGAACGGGACGTAGGCTCTTTGGGGAAATGATAGTCATTAAGAAAGAGAAAAAAAGGAAGGTTCACCAAGCGATGACCTTTGGCCTCCAAACAATTATTATCAACACCTTCTCGGTAAGAACAAGAGACTCGGATCATGCCTCGAGAAGCATATAAACCCATGGTGTTGTTCTCAATCTACAACCACCAATCATGGATTTGTTGAAGAAAATTGTAAACTTTTATTTCGAAAGTGAAAAGCCTCCACAGGAGCCTTTACTAAAGAAAGTGGAGACTCGGTTCGAGTTCCGCAAGCATGGGAAAAATTTGGATGATTTCAAAGAGAAGTTTCCCAAGGTTTTAAATCACGAGGCCCAAACACTCAGAACGATCGGTTTCAAAATCCTGGACGATTTGTTTCAAGTGAGTGAGCTCCAACTTCCAAATGAGAATGCAGCGCCAAATATCAAGAGTCTTGTTGATTCTGGACGTTCAAAACACGGCATTCCTTCATTTGGGCAACACCCTCCTTCGGATACCGATAAAGTGGTTTTCCTTGTCCGTTCCACGAGAATAACGTTTGCATGGTCCAATCATGACATGTTGATGCCCATTGTTGGAAGCTGCTTTTTTGAAAAGGGGAAAGAAATTAATGATTTCCCGGGCCCTAAATTTCCAATGACCCATCTGATCTACGGAGTTGGGTCCGAGATGAATACAGGCTCAAAGCACAAATTAAATGAAGACATCACGCTTTCGTTCAATGCCGAATTCAAGCAGGCGTCATGGTTTTGTCAGAAAGCTTATCATCGTATTGTGCTTCCAGAAATGGCACTTCCAGACTTTCTTTCATTGAAATTCAGTGTTTCAGAACCAGGTGAAATAGACAGTGATCCGTTCGTAATCACCGACATTTGCATCGAGCTCCAGGAGTTTGTCAGTGTCCATGAGGAGGGACATTTTTTCAAAGACGTCCGTTCCACGTTGTTGGTCAAAAAGGCACCTTTTGAAATGATGTATCTTTCTGAAGGCGCCTTGGAAATCCCGTCACACCTTTTCGCCACAAATTTGCCTGACATTGGACCTTCCTTTTTTGTCGAGGACCTCACGAGAAGTTACGGGTTAAACATAACCGTAAAGGTGAATTACAAGGACTGTCCATACATTTGCGCCACGGCATTTATGGAGTTGAACGTGGCAAAAGAGCAGAAGGAGGAGTTTGATATGTTGGAAATCGACGAACTCAGCTACTATGGATGGGACTTTTTCTCCACTGTTCGTTATTTCCAGGCCCCTTCGGGAGGAAAAAGTGTAGAAATTTGCAGCAATCTGTTCCAAAACGGGGTTTATGAACTTGGGGACGATTTTCTGCACTGTCTTCTTCAATCCCACAATACGGGGGCTCTGGGTTGCCATACGTTCACGATAAACGGAGCATCACTAGGTGAAGATGAACAATTCTTGAAGTTACCCGTTGCCAGACCACGCAAACATCTCGAGGGCCTTTATCAACTGAAGGCAGAAAATCAGGAACAGCTCCTCAGTTCAAGGGTCCGTCAGCTCACAAGAATCACCAAAAAACCAGTTTCTGGAGGCGACGCAACAAACTCAAACAAGCCCTATGCCTCGAGGTGCTTGTTGGTTGAAGACGAGATTGTTCAAGCTGTCGACCTCGACTACCGACCAGTGAGAGCTATGAGAGATCAAGTTTTCTTTATTGGAGACGATTGTGTGCCGCTTTCTATTCGTTTTACAGCTACCAAACACGGACGTTTCAAGCAGTCACACGGATGGAGCGGTGAAGCAATTGCAGTTCCTGGAATGCACTTATCTGAGCTTGTGGATGTCACGCTTATGCTTCCACTGAGCTCAGAGGACTTGGTGGAAGATATCCAGTTCAAGCACATGAAGGTGTATTTCAAGACCGTGAAGGCAGGCCAGGTTTGGAAAGCGGGATTGTTGTTTGAGGAGCACAATTTCCTGCCCTTCAAGGTCAGTGACTTTAAAGAAGCTGTTCCTGGTGACCCTTCGGCTTGTGCTGTTACGCTTTCTAAAGCAGTTCTCAAAGGCAAAATTCCCGAAAGCCTCGAGCCAAGTTCCTGGAATGTGTGTCATTTTTTGGAAGTCCACTTTTCCGTGAACGATAAGGATGACGAGCGTGGCTGGGGACAACAGATATTCATTGCCCTGGAGCTGCAAAAGGAAAGTGCTCTGAAACTGCAAAGAAAAAGCGGACCCTACCCTGAAACTGCAATTGGAGCGTGGCCACTGTCCTGAAACTGCAAGAGGAATGTGGGACTTCGGTTGCTGATGGATGGTGAAAGCTTCCTGAATCGTCTATAGTCTAAATAATAAATAGTATATATATTAAAATGGAAAAAAAGAAGGATGTAGAAGGTATAGTATCAAAGGGAAAGTCATTGCCACAAGTTGAGTCGTCTCTTCGAGTCATCATCTAATGACGGGTTGTTCTTTATCTTTGATCATATCTAAAAAACTTGTTATTTTTCTCTATTTCAACTGCTATCTTAATAATGGTGGTGGTGGTGGTGGTGGCATTGTTCTAGGTTTAAAGGCTTGAGTTGGAGGAGCTCGACCTAGCGTTAGTTTCGATAAAATGATCAAATTTATTTAATTTATTACCTCTTTATTCGTTTGAAGTTTACTGGCACCTGCTTCAATTCACGCTATTGATGCTGATACATCCAATTCTCCATTAGCTTTTGTTAGTTCGTTGGAAAGCCCACTGAGGAAAGGTGAAACCGGTGTGGGCCATTGTGATACCTTCAAAACAGCAAGGTTACTTTCCCCAGCTCAAGCCAAACAATTTCTTTCTTTTTTTTTTCTCCGTTAAATTTATCTGATTTAATGGAAAATTCTATTCCATTTTACTTGGAGAAAACCATCTTTTCAGCTTCCAGACCAGCTTGTTTCATGAGAAAGCTGGAACATCAGTCTCAGACTCGTCTATTCTGATCCTCCATTTGTTCAATCACAATAAGGTACCTAACCTAATGATACGAACGCCTTGCAAAACACTCGACCATTGTCTGCACTGCAATTTTAGCTTTTTTTTTTTTTTTTTTTTTTTCTTCATCATTGAATGAAAACGAAAGCTATATCTCCCTCCCTACCGCCCAAAATACCTCTTCTCAAAAGGCCGTACCAAGTTGTACCCCACAAACGCAAACACCACATTCAACTCAAACAGAAGATCCCCGCCATCGGTTCCAAACTGCCGTGCTATCACCAGCTGGTACCATGTCTGGTTCATCAGCAAAACCGTAGATGCCACCCCAAAGAGGAAACCCGTCACACCAGCATACCCTATAGGAATGCTCTTCCGATCGTTGTAGTTACTCACATCGTAGCCTCCAAAGCCCCTTCTATAAATAAAATGCTCTGTGAGCGAAATCCCAAGGTATATGGCGATGTTGTAGCCGATGATGCTCAAGAAGTTGCTGATGGTTTCCGAAAAAACGTAGTACACCGGGATGGCTAGGGCTAGACAGGCGAAATTCCCAATCAAGCACCAGCCCAAACGGGGAAATCTGGCTAATGGCAGCCAAATAGCCTGAACTGCTAGTGCTAGCGAATAAGAACCAGGCAAGTTATTTGCAATCGAAGAAAGACCAAGCACCACCATACAAAAACGGCCGAATTCGTGGAGATTGTTCACGTTCAAAATCATGTTGACCAACCCGCCTACGGATCCGTCGTCAAAAGCGGCTTTCCATGTGGGGTCCCTCAAAGTACCCATAGCACAGGCTGCTCCTAGTGTGAGGGTAAAGATACAAGGCGTACTAAGTCCCACAACCATGCAACCAAAGATCTTCCACGACGGAGTATCTGAAGGCATGTAAACGAAGAAATCAGCCGAAGACGACGACCATCCAGCCGTGTATCCAAAAACCGTACTGATAAAGTTGAGCACATTGCCTGCGGTTTGGGTCCCACTTTCCATAGTACCCCAGGTGAAGTTTCCCGACATGGTCAAGCGGGCAATGACAATCAAGTAAATGACAAAATTCGGAATCCACGAGTACCGCTCGTAAATGTGGATCGCCTTGTACCCGAGCAAGGCCACTACACAAGTGACCACCACTAGTATAATGCACCCAGCCCACGGCGGAAGAGGACCTATAGAGGCTAGCATCTGGACAGACGGAAGAATGTTCACGGCGTTCCAGCCACAGCAGGATACGACGTTGAAAAATGCAAAAATTCTGCCCATGACGTTTCCGGTGAAGTACCGTGATAGAATCTGCTGTCTGATTCCAAATCTGGCGCCAAAGGTTGCAAAAAAGCCCACCGCCATGGAGCCTATAATGGACCAAAACACAATCACCAAAACACACGTACGGAAATCGAGGTTGTAGAAAGTGGGTCCCAACATGCCTGTGCTTAAAGCGGCTATCGACATGCTGGGTGAAAGAAACATGGTTAGTGGTGAGGTCCAGTTGGTATCGACTCTTTTATCTTCGGGGACCCGCTCCACTCCTCTGATTTCGGCGTTGAACTTGAGGCCTATACGGTCGAAGATATTGGTTCCTTGTTCGAGGCGTCGTTCTCTCTCGTCGTGGACGATTTCCTCTGGATGGCTTTCAAGACTGGTGACTTCCAAGGGCTTTGGCGTCTCTGGAACGTCAGGTTTGGACATTTTTGGTTCTAGCTGAAAAGAAGGCCTTCGGGGTCTTATCTATGTTTCATGAAAAGTCTTATCTAGCCGTGCGTCTGATAATGCCATGCGAGATGGTGTGGGAATTTGTGCTGTGGGGTGGTTTTATGGGAGGTGTTTCTATTTTAATTGGGTGATTGATTATGGGAATTGGCCATTTGGCAATGTAGCTTTAGTCAAAAGAGGTTTTAAACTACGGATGGCTTGCAATTTTTTATGGACTAAGAAATACGGAAATTTGGTTGGATGGTACCCCGTCTGATAAGAGCTTTCATTGTTCGGTAGCCATTTCCCATGTGAGGGGGTTGTATGCTTTCAGATAGCGTTTTGGATTCAAAATGGGTATCGATTTGGGGTCTTTTAATTCGTCTACAAACCCATCTTAATATTCACAATTAGAAAATATGCATTTCTGCTGATGGCGCCCTTTTACGTATATCAATCGACAGTGCTGATGATAAGACCTCGTTTCTTGGCGTTGCTAAGGCAACCAGTACTCTTCATTGTCTGTAGCTGAGCATCGTCGTACAATTTAACAAGCCAGTGTCCAATGGAAATGCTTTGAATAAATGTGACAAAATATATGGTTTGAGGAATCTCATGAATCAGAGGATCTGTCACAAGAAGCTGAATTCTCCATGAAAGTTGGATTACTTAAAGAGCCATTCCAACCGTTTAAGAGCAACTAAAAACCATAGAGTTTTTAGAATCAAGGCTCTGAAATCCGTCAATTGCATTGCCCTCTAATCAATGTGCATTTACATCAAAACCTCACTATGCCGCTCACCCTGCTTCAATCTTTCTATCTACATTCCTGAACCATTCCGAATTTTCAGAACTCGGCTCATCCTGTCCTCCTACACTCCACTCGTATGTTCATGTATTCGTGATGTCCTAGTTGCCGGAGGCCCAGTCGTTCAAGCCATATCTGTTTCTGGCAATCTCGACAGCGTAGAACTGGATTCTAACGGCAAAGATCGAGTTCTCCTGCGAGTACTCGTCGTCGGCCTTGACTCTTAAAAGGGTGCCGAAGTTGTAGTCGTCAATGTCCTTGAACTTCTCGCAGAAGGCTCTCCACTTGGCCTTGCCCTCCTTGCTCTTCATGGCGTCCTCGTTGATCTGGAAAGCAGCCTCCTTGGTCTTGAACTCAGGGAACTCCTCCACCAAGGCGTCGAAGATCTCGTTGTCGTGGTTGGTTAATCTGAGAGAAGAAGCCTTGACCTTGGAGATCAACTTCCAGTAAGCCTCGGCCTGGTGCACGGCCTTGACGGCAAACTGCTTCTCGATGTCCTCGAGGTTCTCTGCTTTTTCAGCGTCGAATTTGGTGGCCATGTTGGAATAGTGGTGGTGATGCCGGTGCGATGCGCTTAGTTAAAAAAAGTGCCCTGTCTGCACAGTAGCGTTGCTGGAGGTGGAGGCCCCTAGGGGTTTCAGAAATATATATCAAGGAAGGAATTTGCCAAGGGCAATTCGATATGATTTTGTCGTTTCGTTTTGTTCTTTTGACTGGTGGATGTTGATGTGAACAGCGTTGTGTAGAACTGTGGAGCTGAACAAGACAGAATTTGCACCCATTCTCACCACACCCTCCTGATAATCACTCAATTGCACCCAATTGCCTCCTTCTAGTCCAGAAATTCCAGTTCAGCTTTTATCTTCGGTTTTCCCCCTCTGTTCCATCGACTGGCCTACTTCGCATGCTCTACGATCCACTCGGCGGCCCGTTTTCCAGAATCGTAAGCTCCGTGAATGCATCCACCGCCATCAGCGATGGTGTGCTCGCCTGCAAAACGAATGGTCAGGCCTGCTCCCAAACCCACCCCGTCGTGCTCACCACTGAGCTGGATAATAACGTCATCAGGACACTCGCCAGTACGAATAGCAGAGTAGGCACCCCTGGCAAACGGATTCTTCGTCCAGTCGGTCACAATGGTGTTGATAGGATCAGGCACCGAGAAGCTCGACACATTCAACTTCAGCAACATTGGCTTCAAGTACTGCCAGGCCTGCGCTGGGTGCAGCTCGAGGTACTCTGTCACAGGCAGCTGGGTAAGAATCACCAACGAGGCTGTTCCAGGGAACACACGTGCGTAGTTGATAATGTAGATCGGGTACTCCCACGATTGAGGCACCTGTCCATGCGAAGAGACCTCGTCGGGAACAATATCGAACCGGTCCTGGGTCTTGTCCCACCAGATAATGTCAAACTCAAGCACAACCTTGCCCAAGGCGCCCATGGATATTTTGTCGAGCGCTTCTGTCACGGGCTGTGGAAGCGGTGGCTCCCAGACTATGTTTTGCGGTCCCTCCTGGAGTTTAAGAATGCTGAGAGGAACCGTCACCACCACGTAGTCCGTATCAACAAAGCTACCGTCAGCAAGCTCCAATCTGTGCCTTCTGGCCCCCTTGACGTCTCTCTGTATACGTGTCACCTGCGTCTCCTTGCGGATCTCACAGTCTATCTGAGACACGAGGTGGTCCACGGCAAAACCGTGCCCTTTCTTGTCGTACAAGTTCCGTCCCTGGTGGTCCATCGGGGCGTACTTTGCCAGAATCTCGTACGACGGAATGCCGAACCAAAGCTCAAAGTACCGAAGAAGACGACTGCAGTACCGGAGCTGCTCAGGCGTAAGAAACGCCTTGTACTTGTCCACATACACCTTGGCAAAGTCGTCCAAGCTCATGTCCTTGACGTCCAAGCCCTCCATATAGTACAATTCCATGTACTTCTCCATGTCCTCGAGCACACGGGCCAATTTCCAGTTGTTCGTGTCCAAAGGTCCATCGTGTTCCCTGGCGTATATGGCAATGTCCTTATCGTCAAAGTAGCCGTCCTTCAGCGGGACGAACGTGCCGTTTTCAATGCTGTCGTACAAAACGGAATTGGTCAAGGCGTCGTGAAACCACGCGGCTCCAAGATCATACGGAACCCCCAACTTGCTCAGCTCTCGATCGGTCTTGATCCGACCACCTAGTCTGTTCTGGGCTTCAAGAATTACGATATCGTCTTTGGTGAAAACGCCGCTTTGTAGAAGCACGTGGGCGGCCTTGAGGCCGGAAATGCCCCCGCCGACGATGGTGACGGATTTGCTGGTCATAAAGAAAGTGGTAGGTGTAGTTCTTATCTGTTGATTCCGCGATCTGTGGAGGAAGTCCGGGACCGAGGTGGGACAATGTGGAGGGGGGTGGTATTAAGTGGGGGTGGATTTTTGATTTATGGTATTTGGATGTTCAATTGGTTGGGATTTTTTTGTTTTGGATGTAATTTTTCGGATTGTTGGTCGGATGGGTTGGGTACTTATATTAGTGAGACTTATGGGGTGACCATATCTACAGTGAGGTTGGTTTGGTGAGTCGATAGATGGAGCGATACTGTTTTTTCACATTTTTTTTTTTGTAGAAATTCTTAGAATTTGTGCCTTGGGTGGTCAACTTTGCACAAATATGTCTACTTTTTTGATTCTTCAACTTGTAGATTGCAGATTTAGGTTATAAGACAATACGAAGGTATCTAAAGCAGGCGGTACATAAAAGGCCTTTAAGTGAATTAGTTCAATGTCGCCAGAATTTCAGTTTGGGTGGTCGAACCCGCAAATCTGGACTTCTTATCGATCTCATCCAACATTAAAACCTATACCCTTGATATACCCAGCCTCATGGCAAACGCTGACAAATGGAAAGATCAGATCTATATTGAATTGAATTCTGCTAGATATTCGAGATGTAATAAAATTGTTTGACACCAGACACGGCTTCCGGCTTCGTGTTAATTCACATACCTACTGTTCCTTTGATAAAGGTGTCACTAAATGAATCTTCGATTTATAATTCAAATCAATTCATAGCTTGAGCCAAAACCTCCTCAAACAAGCCTTGCTGCCCTAAGAGAATTACCAAAGTTCCTCTTGGGAGAACTTGACCAATTGACGACACCCTCTTAAACTAAACCGGCTCATCAGACAGCCACAGATACAACCATACAAAGCAATCACTTTGCGCCTCCCTACAATCATTTCTCTAGAGTCTATTGCCTAACACACTGACGCTGGCTTCTTCCCGCACAGCCGGCCTCGTCACCTACTGAAGCCCAAGCGTCTTCCGAACATGGTTACGCACCTGCTTGTCGTACTCCTCCCGGTGGTCTCTCCACAACTTGCAAGCGTCAATATTAGCACCGCTCTCGGGATTGGGCTCCGCCAACATCGAAATCACACTCAACAAGATCTTCTCGATACTCTGCACCGGCAGCCAGCGCTCCTCGGGTCTTTCATACTGGTTGGGGTCTTCACCAGGAGGGTGCAAGATACTGATGCACACGTTTCCGTCGGCATAAATATTCGGATGGAGCAACGGTGGCGTGAAGGTGAGCAGAGGAGGGCTCAACGGGTAGTCCAGGGGAAACTTGAGCGTGGCAGAAAAGACACCGTTCTCGTATGGGGTTCCAGCGGGTCCTTCAAGAAGACAGTCCCACACGAACAAGTCGTCCTCGGAAAGTGGGCCAGCCACGACGCCGGGTGGGGGATCTCGTGATAGCTGCTGGTACTCCTTGAGCAAGCGTTTCTGGGCGGTGGAGCGTGGGGGCATGAATTGGGGTGTGGTTTGTGGAAAGTTAGGTGAGGTGGATTCGCGGCTTTTAAGTACTGGAGGGTTTGGGGGGTGTGGGTTTACGTGAGATTGACTTTTATTAATTTAAAAAGTAGTTGGAGGGTATGCTTGGATGTTGAAGTGGTTGGGTTGTTGGTTTTGGCTGGGTTTATTTGGGTTTGTGTGGGTCTGGCTGGTTGGTGGATTGGGGTGGTGGTTTATAGTGAGTGGTATATGGATTGAGGGTGAGGATGGTGGGTGGATTGAGAAAGGATGGAATGTTATTTTGTGATCTTTAAATTCACTGAGATCGTCAGTAAATGTCCCTTTTTGGTTGGCCTCGTTGGTTATGGGTGCTGTTTGTCTGTGTTCGTTGATTCACATGCTCGAAGAGGTAT